GTTTGTTACCGTCTTAGAAATGTTCTTAGAACACCCTCATCGGTTAGAATTCCTAAAGAGTTTTTAAAAGGTAAAAAATAATATTATTTTAATACAATTTTGTTATATAATTAATTTTTAATTCAAAAAATAAAAAGTGGACCAGTTACAAAGTAACACATGTTAGAAGGATTTTTTGTGAGTATCTAAAACAAGAATCGATTTTCACCATCTCTCTTATTTTTTTCTTTTTCCATTATTTTAATAGTAGGTTTCGAATAAGAAATTCCCGTTGGAGATGCCCTTAGGTTACATATTTGTTTTCCGTTCAACTGACCATTTATATTCATCGTCTTCTTCAAGACTAGTCGAACTTATTTTTTACCAATTTAAGATGGGTGTTTAGTTTGCTTCCCCTTTATTATTTCCACATGAACTAACTTAACGAAAATCATCATTGTCTCATCAAATCCAGCTATAATAACATGGCATAACGTCGATCAAATCTGTATAAGAGCAAATTCGTCTGAAAAATGTTAGTTTCTTAAAGACTTATGGCCAAGAGTTAGTACAACCAATTTTGTTAAGCAAATGTGTTAGTCGACCGCATCACCATTTTCTGGTTAAAATCTGCATCAACATTTAATAAATTTATATCAAGCACTAAAGAATCGCAAAAGATATCCATCAACATATAAACTTCATGTAATTTATTTATGGTTTTCATGAAATTTATATATGGTTTTCATAAAAACAAATATTATATTGTGTATTTGCTTGTCACTAGAAATTTTATATGTACATTAAGTTATATCTTATCTATTAAAAATTTAACGTATCGTGGAGAGACTCCTAACAATTTAAGTGTGTCTATACATCGAATATGACCAAAATTCAAACATATATCACAATTGTATGTATGAAATATGGTGATGCTTGATTCAGCCGAACGGGGTTGATGTTTTTAGTGGACACAAAGAGAAGTCCAACTCTTATGCATGCGTAGATGAAAACCTTGATTTGGGCAATGTAATGTTGTCAATCATTTCCAAAACAAACCGTTCCAAAATAGTGGAAATTGTGAGATCAGGATATTTGGCATGCTTTATCTATATTATTGACTGTGTATTAGCAAGTTAAAAGCCCATTTCAGTTATTTTTGGATTCAACATTTACATTGTAGTTTAAACGGTAAACACACATTGTTTAGCTTGTAGTAATTTATTATTTTATTTATGTAAACAATTCAATTTTGGTTCAGTTAACCAAACTTGTTTCTAATTTAAAGTTTGATCGCGGAGACAAAAAAGGACAATTGGCCAGAATAGTAGAGTCATTATTATTTTGGTATTTTATCTGAAAGAGTGTCTTTTTGGCTTTCAATAAATTTCAGACTATTTTGCCCTTCTAGCAGCGCGTGGACGATGTAGAGCGAGTTGACAACGTACATGATAAAGAGTGTACAACCGGGTTTTTTAATATTAAAATTAAATGGTGTCTTTTTGACATTTAATTTTTCTTCGTTTCTTTCTGCACCTTTGATTTGTTTCCTATTTTATTTTTTTACATTGATTAGAAAATTATCGAATTTACTAATTTCAATACGTATTTCTTTTTTCATCTTTTGACATCCATATTATAA